TGACGAAGCGGATATCGTCCTCTTTTGGAAGGCCAAACAAAGTAGTTTCGCTTTCACTACGAAGCACACAGCGCCTTCACGACATGGCGGCGGCGGCAACAATACTACAGCGAGAATAAAAGTTACGCCTTCTTTCTTTTCATGAACATTTGGGCAGCATTATGCAAATCTTCCCACAAAACCCACATCGTGACGTAGACGTGGGGGCGTGTTAGAATGAGCTGTTTTAGCTAGGCGTGGTTGACTCTTAACTTTTATAAAGAATATCTCTTTGGATTTGAGACTTTAGTCTTTGCAACTTTACAGATCTTCTTTATGCACCAAGAGCTTGTAACACTTCAAAGAGAAAGGAAAAATTGAAATCACATCATATGACCCCTTTAAATAATTTTACAGATGTAATTATCACTTCTGGTTTATCTGTCATACTGGAAATGGACAACTATTATGTACTGCATACATAGTGTATCATGTCTAGTATTAGATAAAATACAGTAATGAAACAATATACATTTCAGTTGAATGGTGTCTATTTAACTATTATTGTAATAACTTATGGTGCATTTATTATTTAATTGCGTTTAAAAATACCCAAAAACTATAACTAAAACTGAATTAAATAATAATATTAAAAACTATTTTAAATGTATCTGAGATCATTTCTGGTTTATCTGTCACACTGGAAAAGGACGGTCAAGTCCTGTGCATTGCATTGTGGGAAACTCACAATTTGGTCAGTCTGGGTATATTATAAACAGAGCATTTGCATACTGTCTGCAGTACACATACTGCAGAAATAGTAGTATGCTATTCGGATCATCACAATGTTTAGACTACATGTGTTTGAGACGTACCTGTGCCCAGGTGAGAGTTTTGTCAGTCAGGTGATAGTGGACCATTCCCTGGTGTTCATCCTTCAGTAAACTTCCTGCGAGAGCCATCAGGTGAAAGTTATAAAAACCGTCAAAACAGTTATAAAAACTGTCCAGTGGAAATACAAAGCAGGTCACTTAAATACCTGGAAAGGTGCTTTCAATGAAGTCTTTGAAGAGCTGAAGATCCATCTCCTCTAACTCCGTGTCCACGCGGACCTTCGCCAGCAGCGTGTAACCGCTACCAAACTTGCTCTTCAGGTGCTGCGGGCTGCCCAGACATTTGAACTGGCCGTTCACCATGACAGCCAGCCGAGTACACAGCGCCTCGCACTCCTCCATACTGCAGAGAGAGAATGAGAAAGTTTGTTCTGATGTAGCATGCTTCTTTTCATTTCCCATTCATATTTGCATTATTTGTGGCTTACCTGTGTGAGGTTATGATGATGGCTTTGCCAGACTCTCTGGTGCGTGTAATTGCGTCCCAAAGCAGCCGTCTGGCCACAGGGTCCATGCCAGTAGATGGCTCGTCCAGGAAGATCACAGGCGGCCCACCGATTAGAGCCATGCCTGCACTCAACTTCCTCTTATTGCCGCCACTGTGTAGGATCCAATAGACAACTTAGAATACACCGTAACAGCATATAACAAACAAATGATTTAACTTCTGACATTCAGAGTCTTCCTGTTGCATCTGTTTCCTTACACTTCAATAAACTAGTCTATCATATTCACTCATGCATTTATCTAAACATCAATCCATCATATCTAACATTCCATACATGATATTAAACCATCATCTAACCATCAAATCTATCAAATCTAACCAGCCATCATATTTAGCCATGCATTCAAAATATCTAACAATCCATCCAACATATCTAACCACCCCACGAATCATATCCAACTATCCACAAATCATATCTAACTATGCACAAATCATACCTAACCACCCACAAATCATATCTAAACATCCATTAATCATATATAACATCCATGAATCATATCTAACCACCCATGAATCATATCTAACCATCCATGAATCATATCTAACAATCCAAAAATCATACCTAACCACCAATGAATCATATCGAATCATCCACGAATCATATCTAAACACCCATGTATCATATCTAATAGGGCTGTGAATCTTTGGGTAGACAGCGAATCGATTAGATTCATAGGTTTTCGATTCAATTCAAGAACGATTTTTGCAAATTCAGAACGATTCGATTCGATTCGATTCACAATTAAATTTGATTCGATTCGATTAATGATTCGATTCTGCATTCTTTAAGGGCATTCACAGGAATTATTATATATATATACTGTATATATTTACAAGGAATTATTTTCTTATCTCTTACTTTGAATTTTCTATAAGAAATCAAATACACTGCTGGACAATAATCAATCATTTGTAATCTATAGTTTTTTCCTAATGGCAATTTTATGATTGTTTTATATACTACAAACAATTATTTCAAATTTCTGCACAGAATTAGGTAGAAAATATACTGTATAGTTTCTGTACTGTAATGAATGATATGTCAATTAGCACTGCATCATTCATAAATTTTATTTATTTATTGTCTTAATGTTTCACTAGTTCATTCTGCTTTTTATACAGTTTAGCTGCAGATATAGCCCGGCACGTCTATGAGCGCGAGATCACTTCTCTTTCAGTGAGAAAACTTCTTTATCTCATTTTCACTAAATAAAATGCTATAGTATTTAACTTCTCTCCATCGACGAATGATGATTCTGAAAGAAAACGCGCCCGATGTCTGTTTGCTATAGCAACGAACACTACTTTCATGCATCTGATTATCAGATAAACCTTGCGCTCTTCTATGGCTATGTGTAGTAAATTCTGCTCCATCTGAAAGCACGTGATGATGATTTCCTGCTGATTATAGAACCGGCATTACTATCAAAATGCGCATGACAATCGCATTCGATTAATCGTGCAGCCCTAGTTACACCCCTAATATCTAACCATCCACGAATCATATCTAACCATCCACAAATCATATCTAACCATCCACGAATCATATCTAACCACCCATGAATCATATCTAACCACCCCTGAATCATATTTAACCATCCACCAATCATAGCTAACCATCCACGAATCTTATGAATCATACCTAACCATCCACAAATCTAATCTAACCATCCATGAAACATATCTAACATCCATATATCATATCTCACCAGCCATTCATCATCATATCCAACCACCCACAAATCATATCTGACTATCCATGAATCATATAATCTAATCCACAAATCATACCTAACCATCCATGAACCATATCTAACAATCCACAAATCATATCTGACCATCCACAAATCTTATCTAACCATCCACGAATCTTATCTAACATCGATGAACCATATCTAACCATCCATGAATCATATCTAACATCCATATATCATGTCATTCAACCAGCCATTCATCATCATATCCAACCACCCACGAATCATATCTACACATCCATGAAATATTTTCTGATTCATTCATCATACCTAACCACCCATGACTCATATGTAACCCTCCATATTTCATAATTTACCATCCATTCATTATCACATCTAACCACCTACAAATCATATTTAACCACCCATAAATCATATCGATCAACCCAATCATATCGAACCAATCATATTTTACCATTCATTCTTCATCATATCTAACCACCCATTAAATATCTCTATCATAAACCAAAATCATCCTTCATTTCTAATCAACCATCAATCATACTTATCAATGCATTCATCACATCTAACCATCTATATATCATGTCTAACCCTCATCTAACCATCAAATCTAATCTTCCATCATTTCTTACCATGCATTAATCATATCTAACCCACCCATCAATTATTTCTAACCATCCATCCTCTTTCTCTCAGGTCTCATGTTTATACCTGTAGCTGCGGACAAGTTTGTCAGCGTGAGGTTCGAGCAGCAGCGAACGCAGGACGTTTTCTACACAGGCTGTGACGTATTTCTCTGGGATGCCCCTCAGTCTGGCATACATGCTCAGGGTTTCCCGCCCTGTCATGTGATCTAGCAGCGCATCAAACTGGGGACAGTAGCCAATTCTCTGCTGCACCTGAAGTGAAGTCATATTTAATACTGTTAATCCATTCCCTTACATCAAATCTAAATATCTCTCATCTCTAAAAATTAATTAACTAATAAAGTTTGACCTTGACCCTAATTTCCAGTGTTAGGGAACTATTTTATATGAAATGGCAATGAGATAACAAAATGCTCAACCTTTTTCACATCTCGGAGGATGCTGTAGCCGTCAATAAAGGCATCTCCTGAAGTTATGCTTTCATCACCCGTCAACATTTTGAATGTCGTAGTCTTCCCTGCTCCATTAAATCCCAGTAAACCAAAGCACTCGCCCTTCCCAACGGCCAAAGACAAACGGTCCACCGCTAACAACGACTGCCCACCTGAATATACCTAGAGAAATACAACCACAGATTAAAAAAGGGTAAAAACAATAAACTAAACACCAAACAATTTTGTCTGGTAACAAATTTGTTTGGTAAAATGCTATGACCAAATTTACATGGTATTTTCAGGGCATTGTGGCAATGAAATGCAAAACATGTGCTAAGAGACTATATCACTTCCTGTTTAGCATATTTGCCAGTAACTCAGGTATTTCTGGAGAACGTTGTTGCATACCAATATCCCATTTAGTGGATTCTGTGAGGCTTCCTTCCTAAACAATGTCCACAAAATAGCAGAAAGCCATAGAAATGACCAGTTATAAAAAGGAGCGTGACCTTAGGCCAAATTATTCCAAAGCATGATTTTCTGCATGTTTTATGCACTTTGGCCAACAGATGGCACCACCCAACTGGTTTTGTATACTCAGGGCACTGTGGCAATGATACAGTGGAACTTGCATGTCAATGCATTAAAGCAATCCAAAATACTTTTTCACAGAATATAAGTGGAAACTGAAACTTTGAGGTAATCACATTAACATACTGTAGTTTGGAGCCAAATAATACAATGTGAACTTCATACTTTGCTGAGCTCCTGTAGGATAAGTGGGCTGCCCACCATGGACTCAACCACTGGCTGGCACTCCAAAACTCTTTTTCTCTCCTCCGCAACATCTCTGTCCTCAGGTTGAAGAGCTTCTTCTGCCAACAGCAAAATCTGACAAAAAAACACACCCACAGCTGTGATTGTTAGCATCCAAACCAATAAAACAGCAGCACCATATCCTGATTTTTCTTTCCTCTCCCACCTTCTTGTGTCTCCTGCAGAGGTTGAGCAGCACATGGATGCACCGGAGCTCAATGAAGAAAAGCAGGGCGATGAAGACGACACCCTGCAGGAACATGGCCACCAGGAAGCGACCCACTCCAGGCTCATCCATGGAAAAGTAGTTTACTTGATACGTGATGTCTGCAGATGACCAGCAAAAATGCCAATGAGAATGACAACACAGTCCACATTAAGTGCGCCACATGATGCTAAACGCTCATGTTTGCACTGCTAGTTGCTTTTCAATGACGTCAGTCAATATTCAGAAGATTTACCAGCTAGCGGTGCTGGTCTTATAGCTCCATCGAGACACTAAACACAACGAATGATTTAATCATATTATACACACACAGGCTAACATATTACAGAAAAACTAAAATTCAATATCCAGGGCTTCACATTTGCATAGGCGAAGTGCCAGCACAATGCCAGAAATGGCACTGATCAGAACTGACCTAGCATGAGCTTATGAGTTTTAGTTCAGGTGGTTTTTCAGGGTGATTATCAGTCACTCACTGTAGTACTTGCAAATGTACTCGGCAAAGACACTGGAGGTGCAGAAAGTGATGATCTCGTAGTTCTGATAGAACTCGCTGAAGGACATGCCCAAGCAGTAATTCGGGAAGATCAGGAAGACCTTATCCAGGAGGTGAGACAGGTCTACCAGCTTGAGCTCTGAGGGAAGACAACCACAAGAACGCAAAGTGTTTGAACAGACATTCTAGCAAGAATTGAAATGCAAGTGCGGACGTGCGTGTCTCACCAGGTATGGTCATGATGGTGACCGCGAGGAAGGTGGCTGTGCCGCTGAGGATGTTGAAGATAGTGAGGCGCGTGTAAGCGGTGGCGGCCGAGGAGAACATGAAGCTGAGCAGGTACATGAGGGGAATCACCGCCCAGCCATACAGAAGCAGCAACAGCAGAACATCCACCAGGTGGTTTTCAGCCACAAATGCTTTCACTGAAAACACCTGGAAGACCACCTAGAAATAACAAATCAGCCTCATATATCCAGGTTTTCCAAATGCCAGGTGTCGAGGGAATTAATTTAAATCACTGTACATCTTGAGTTTTAGCTTATTTCAAAGCATACTTTGTATTATTTTAAAGCAGTGGTTCTCAAATTTTTTACAGCGGCGTACCCCCTGGGGTAGAGGTCTGCGCGGGACTATTTTTTTAGTCCTGCTCCCGCAAGGTTCTATTCCGCACCCACTCGCTCCCGCTATATATTCACTCTTTGTTCGCCCGCTGTCCGCTTAGAATAATTTTCTTCCCGACCCAACCGTTCCCACTAAATTTAGATTTCGTTTCCAGAATCTCACATTTAAATTTCCGCTACTGAAAGAGAGATAGGCTGACAAATAAAAGTGTAGTCTGCACAAAATTGTATGTTATTTTATTCGTCTTGTCAAGAGTCTTGAATTTATTGACTTTGACTTGAATTTATATGAATTATCCTAAGACACAAAATCTGTTTAATATTTTATGCAACACAGTACAAAAAAAAAAAAAGTGTCAGAGAAAATAAAAATTGTATTTCTTATTTTTATTCGTCTTGTCAGGATACAATTCATTTAACATTTACAACACAATAGGAAAAAGTGTCGCAGAGAGAAAAAAAATGTAGGTTGTACAAAAATAGCCTATTAGCTATTTTTATTCGTCTTGTCAGGATACAATTCATTTAACATTTACAACACAATAGGAAAAAGTGTCGCAGAGAGAAAAAAAATGTAGGTTGTACAAAAATAGCCTATTAGCTATTTTTATTCGTCTTGTCAGGATACAATTCATTTAACATTTACAACACAATAGGAAAAAGTGTCGCAGAGAGAAAAAAAATGTAGGTTGTACAAAAATAGCCTATTAGCTATTTTTATTCGTCTTGTCAAAATACAAAATTCGTTTTACATTTTTCTGTTAACACAGTATAAATGTCGCAGAGAAAAATAAATAAATACAATATCTGTCATTTAAAATTATAGGCTAAGAAAAATATAAACAAAACCGAGTTGAACGTCCTTCAAGGACAGCGCATTTACACTTTGCTCCATCCTTATTCTGCTCAGTCACTCGTCGACAACCTGCCTGTTCTGTTTGATGGCCGTATATTTAGGCTACCACCGGTACAGTCTGCTCTGAGCATCGTTATGCACATGCTGCACACAAACCCCGCAAATAAAACGCGTGACGTAGAAGGCATGCGCACAGCACGTGCATAACAGTCCGAGTGCAGGCTGTACCGGTGGTCAATAAGAATAAAGCGCAGATATGCTGTTCTGAATGGACGTCGGGAACGGGATATTGTTAGACCGCCCGCTCCCGTCAATCAATATTGTAATGCATTACTTTTAAAAGTAACTTTCCCCAACACTGAACATAATATATGCGTGTGTACTGTGTATATTTATTATGTACAAATAAATACAAACACATGCATGTATATATTTAAGAAAAATGTTACGTTTATATAATAAATATATTTTTATATAATATAAATTATGTGAATATAAATATGTACATGTAAATACATGTCAATATTTTCAAAACATATACTGTTTGTGTGTGCTTTTATATATAAATAATAAATATACACAGTACACACACATACACCGAACAAAATTATAAACGCAACACTTTTGTTTTTGCCCCCATTTTTCATGAGCTGAACTCAAAGATCTAAGACTTTTTCTATGTACACAAAAGGCCTATTTCTCTCAAACAAATTTCACAAATCTGTCTAAATCTGTGTTAGTGAGCACTTCTCCTTTGCCAAGACAATCCATCCACCTCACAGGTGTGGCACATCAAGATGCTGATTAGACAGCATGATAATTGCACAGGTGTGCCTTAGGCTGGCCACAATAAAAGGCCACTCTAAAATGTGCAGTTTTATCACACAGCACAATGCCACAGATGTCGCAAGTTTTGAGGGAGCATGCAATTGGCATGCTGACTGCAGGAATGTCCACCAGAGCTGTTGCCCATGAATTGAATGTTCATTTCTCTACCATAAGCCGTCTCCAAAGGCGTTTCAGAGAATTTGGCAGTACATCCAACCAGCCTCACAACCGCAGACCACGTGTAACCACACCAGCCCAGGACCTCCACATCCAGCATCTTCACCTCCAAGATCATCTGAGACCAGCCACCCGGACAGCTGCTGCAACAATCGGTTTGCATAACCAAAGAATTTCTGCACAAACTGTCAGAAACCGTCTCAGGGAAGCTCATCTGCATGCTCGTCGTCCTCATCGGGGTCTCGACCTGACTGCAGTTCGTCGTCATAACCGACTTGAGTGGGCAAATGCTCACATTCGATGGCGTCTGGCACTTTGGAGAGGTGTTCTCTTCACGGATGAATCCCGGTTTTCACTGTACAGGGCAGATGGCAGACAGCGTGTATGGCGTCGTGTGGGTGAGCGGTTTGCTGATGTCAACGTTGTGGATCGAGTGGCCCATGGTGGCGGTGGGGTTATGGTATGGGCAGGCGTATGTTATGGACAACGAACACAGGTGCATTTTATTGATGGCATTTTGAATGCACAGAGATACCGTGACGAGATCCTGAGGCCCATTGTTGTGCCATTCATCCACGACCATCACCTCATGTTGCAGCATGATAATGCAGCGATTAATCGCGATTAATCGTTTGACAGCACTAATTTTAAGGCATTTTGCAGCACCCTTGCCTCCAGATTAAGAACCACTTACAGAACCTAGACAGTACATTAATACTGACCAGCATGAGCAGGCAGGGCAACAGGAAGTTGATGAGGTCCCACAGCAGGGCGGAGAACCAGAAGTTGGACAGGTAGACACCGCTGACCTGCTGCACATGTTTGGACTTCACCGACCGCTCAGAGACGAGGAGCAGGGCGAAGGTGCTGGCTAATGATGCCATGCCGTACATGAGGTTTATAGCGATGGCGAAGCCTGTCTGACCCCTGCAGAGACAAAAATGAGGATGAAAGACCATCTAAACGACTAGGTGTCCCAAGTGAACTTTACTTGGTGTTCTTGGTTTGTTCTGATACCTTAGGCCAGTGGTTCTCAAACCTGTCCTGGAGTACCCCCAGCCCTGCACATTTTGTATGTCTCCCTCATCTGTCACACGTGATTCAACTCATCAGCTCATTAGTGGAGACTGCAAGACCTGAAGTGGGTGTGTCAGATATAGGGAGACATACAAAATGTGCAGTGCTGGGGGTACTTCATGGAGAGGTTTGAGAACCCCTGCCTTAGGCTATGATTTTTGATGATTTTCGTCAGACACACAGAAACTCAAAGGTCTTCACTACAACCTGTCAAAATAAAAGTTCAGTTTAACTTAAAGAAATTATGACAGAAAATGTTTACTTCTCAAACAATATATTAAAACATTATGGAATAACATACAATATCACATGGTTTTTGCCCATATTTTAATTTAAACAGTAAACCTCTGTTGTGCAGCACTTTGCCAAAAATAAAACAGTTCGTAAAATGTTAATTTGATTACATTTTAAAAGATTAATTCAATTGTTCTAGTTTTATATTGACATTTAGCACCATCGAGAAACTTTCCTGATCCCGCCCCCCTCTCTCTCTCCCACTTCGCTTCCTGTCATCATACTGTCCTATCATGCTAATGCTAAAAATAAATCTAAAAAAAAAAAGTTTAAGTTTTATGAATTAATTAGATTACCACCATTTTTATAATAAATTTGTATTAAACCATAAATAAACAGAATCTAGGAAAATTTAAAAAGAATTTCTGAAAATAAATATAGTAAATAAATAAATGTTTTTTTTATCTTGTTTTGTTGTTACATTAGAGTTAAAAGTTTTTACTCAATAAATCAGAAAAAAACTGTCAAATGACATTAACAAACCCATCTGTAAAAACCTTCTAAATATAGAAAGATAAATATAGATTTAGTGTATTTAAGTCCTCTGAAGTAGAGATATGTATTGTAAATAAAATCTACAGATGCAAACAGATGAAATATAATGAAAAAAAAACACTTGATGTTTTCTTTCCACTAGTATGGCATGTTTAGGAGGCAAAATAGCTCAAAATCACAAAATTGACCAGTGCCTGAAAAAAGCAATGGTTTTGTCTGTAGTGTCTTATCTTAAAATGAAAACACAGAATTTTGGAAAAAATTCAATCAAATTTCATAGGCCCTACTTGTCAAGCGCCACTAAATACTCCCAAAGAGGATACGTACTCAGAAAGCTGGCTCTGGGCCGTCTCGGACATGTTGCGGGGCATGGGGTAATTTCCAGTCTGGATGGAGGCGTCGGGTCCGGCCAGTAGCTTGTAGAGAGCGTTGTCAACCAGCATGAGTGCTGTAGCGGGGGTGTGATAGCCCTGGTTGTTGAAGTAGCCGATGACCTCAGTGTTCTTCCTGGATCGGCCCCTGAAAGTCGCGCCCACCACGCAGTGCTCATTGAAAGCCCCGCCCTCCCTCATGGCATTATATAGCACGTACTCCGACAAATCTGATAGGAAAAACGACAGGTTAGGATGTTGCTGAGGCAGCTTCCGTTTATTTATTCATTCGGTTATTTCTTACCTGTTATATTAGTGGCAGGAATGGCATTCTGGGAAGGCAGCTGTGCAGCATAGATCTCAGCCAGAGCTGTAGCCAGCGGCCCAGCACTGACGTCTACAGCCACGGGTACGTGAGTAGGGCCATATTGTTTTAGCACCAGACGGAGCTGGGGCGTGATTTGGCTTCCAGGGAGGGCGCGGGCTACTACGAGGGCCAACACAGTGAAAATGAGCGGCACCAGAAACTGAGCCACCATCACTTTCCAGTTGCGCCAGCTGTAGAGCGCCCTCTTCAGGAACATAGCGTAGAACTGCTGCATATAGAGCCTGGCCTGAGGATAAACACATGCAGAAAGTAATGAAGGATAAAAACAAATAATCTATCTAAAAAAATGTCAAATATATCATTTATTTCTGTTTCAAATAAATGCTGTTTTTTGGAGTTTTCTATTAAAAGAATCCTGAAAAAAATTAATGTATCACGGTTTCCACAAAAATACGAAGCAGCACAACTGCTTTCAACATTGATAATAATCAGAAATGTTTCTTGAGCAGCAAATCAGCATATTAGAATGATTTCTGAAGGATCATGTGACACTGAAGACTGGAGTAATGATGCTGAAAATTCAGCTTTGATCACAGGAATAAATTATATTTGACAATATATTCAAATAGTAAACAGTTACTTTAATTGTAATAATATTTCAAAATATTACTGTTTTTACTGTATTTTTTTATCAAATAAATGCAGCCTTGGCGAGCATTAGACTTTCAAAAAAAATGATAAAAATAAAAAATAAAAGTATATATATATATATATATTAATAATGAACTTATTTTGCCAAACAGTATTACCAAAAAAAAAGAAAAAAGAAATGCAATATGATTTTCCTAAATAAAAGAAAAAGTGACTACACAAAAGTCTGACACTCAGGAAATAAGCCATCATTTGGATCAAACCATAAAGCAATTGCATGAAAATGATTAAACAAATATATTTCTGTAATTTATGAGAAAAAAAGTTTATCAATAAATACTAATCCCTACTGAGAAATAATTTAGGCTTCATTTTATTATATTATTAAACTTATGAAATAATTACATCTATTTTATTTGATGTTTATGCTAGAGAAAAAATTCACACAAATCAGGGTATTAAACTATTTTTAAAAAAGTGTGTGTGTGTATATATATATATATATATATGAAACATTCACTATTCACATTTAATTTGACCTAGTGAGGTCAACAAGTAATTTTCAACAAGTTTCAAGCCCTATTTTGACATTCTTACATACTGGAAAACTTACAGTGGCATTTAGAGGTGCTAGAGAAATAATATACTAAATATACATGATAATATTTATGACCATGTGAATAGTGCTTGTCTATAGAAGTCGTTGTCAGGATGCCAAGTCAAAAGAGTCCACAAGTCTCTATAATATTCTGAATCTTTCAATCTCAGTCAGTACAGTAGGGGTTTTTCTTCAGCTGTTTTAGTTCGACTACTTAATAGCACCTCATTTCTGAAAGCACATTAAGTTTTCCGTGAGAAGCGCTGAAGTCACTGACCCCAATGTTGAGTTTGATGTTGGAGCCGTCCTCTGAGATCATAGTGCCGCTGTCAGTGAAATCCGTCACGTCTGTCATGCCGCTGATGCTGCTGGAGTCGTCCATGGTCCAGTCATGTGACCGCCGTTCATGCTGGTACTGCAGAGCAGGAAGCTGGATGGCCTGAATATCCAGACTGGAGTCCACGAGCTTCCCGACCCTGAGAGCATGAGTTACATAAAAGATGACACATACATGAGGATCTGCATGAAAGCAAGTGGCCGTTACTGGGACACAGCTGGGCGTGTAAAATGTAGAAGGGTTCAGAGAAATGACGCTGAAGGAGAGATAGCAGCACTGAAGCTGTCAATCTGCGCCCCGTCCTACAGCTAATGGCCATTTAAAGTAGGACAGAAGACTTAAGACTGCACTTGAGCTCCCCAAAACCATTAGCAAAAATGTTTTGGAGATGAAAAAAGGAGCAGTGGTTAAGCATGCTCTTGTGAATGACACTAGAGACTGAGCACGTTTCTGCAGGGTGTGTTTTCAGAGCAGAGATCTGTCATTTAGTCCTGCAGAATCATACTTCTCAGTTCCCTGTAGGGTTGAGAAGTCCTTTTTTTGAACGAATCAGTTCTTTTGAGTCACTAAAGTGCTCCCAGGAGAACTGGGAAGCTCTGAAAGAGCATTTAAAATCTGTAGTGTGATTTTAGGTGTGGTCTTTCTCAGGGAACATACGGTTTACAAAATTTTATTTTTTCTAGCAACACATTTTCACTTCAATTTCAAGCTTTTTACATTTCAGCAAACATGCTAATGTAGTTTATAGGTATTGATATGTAAACATGAAAAGCCATCATCTGTGCTGCGTGACTTAATTTATGCTAATATTAATGCATTTCCCTTTGTTTGTGACATTATTGAAAAGAATACACAACTTTGGAGTGATTATGAGATTTAAAAGGAGAGCGAGACAGCGTTGTTATTGGTAATTAAAACTAAAACTATTAAAAATCATTTTTGCCAAATGAAATAACACTGAAATTAAAAATTACAATTTGATGAAAACTTAAGAGAATTAGAGATGCCTTGGCAACTAACTTAAATAAGTTTAAGTTGAAGTGACAAAATCACTAAAATGAAATAAAAAAATAAATAAATGTAAGCTATATAGAAATATAGTTTTAAAAATACTAAAAATGATAAAGCCACAACAAAATTACTAAATATTTAATAATACACTAAATAATTTAATTTACACTAAAATTTAAATGAAAATTGAAAAATAAAAACTAAAATAAAATAGTTATTAAATACTATTATAGTATAGTATAATAGTATAGTAATAGTACTAATAATACAGCTAGGAAAAAAATAAAACTCTGTGGGACCTGGTGGGAAAATCAGCCCACAATATCATTAGAGATTCTTGATTATTTGTGGTCTTGTGTTCAAGTACCTGAGAAAAACTTCCTCCATGGTGGTAACGGACGCCCCGTAGCTGGCGATGCCCAACTCATCTCGATTCATCTCCAGCTCAGCAAACAGCAGCTCAAACCTGCAGAGAACAGTACAAACTCAAACCTGAACACGCATGAAAATCAATACCTGCTCCAACTACTGAGCACGAAAAGAAATCACTTCTGACAAATCCATCCAGGTTTATTCTTTGTCATTTTTAACAGTTCAACAAAAAATCAAAAACAAAACTTATTCTAATGTCACTCAAAAATTGTATGAAGTACAGTGAAGATCAAAATTAGAGAACAATCTATAAATACTTGATTTTTTCTGAAATATTGTTAATCTTCATCGCTTCATCTTCACTTCTTCCTGTCTCTTCCACAGTTCGGTGACTATAGTGGGTTTCTTAGCCATAACTTTGTCGCCAAGGATTTTCCAGATATTTTCAGTTGGGTTTAGATCAGGACTCTGGGCCGGCCATTTCATTATTTCAATGTTTTCAGCTTCAAGGAACTGTTTTACACGTTCTGCTGTGTGACGGCGAGTTTTGCCTTGCATGAAAATTGCAGGCTGATTGTGAGATGCTTGCAGGGAAGGTACTGCATGTTGCTAAAAGAGGTTCTGATAAACATTTGCATTAACCCTGTCATGTATCTGTATAAGAAGCCCAACTCCTGCTGCAGAAAACATCCCCCAAACCATGACACTTCCTCCTCCACCTTTCACTGACTTCTTTACACACTTGAGCTTCAGTCTTTCCTCAGTTTGACACCGTTTCCCATCTGACCCAAATAAATTAAACTTGCTCTCTTCACTAAAGTGAACTTTTTACCAGTTCTCCTCTCTCCACACAACATGCTCCTCAGCAAAGGTGAGTCTAGCCTTTTGATTCTTTCTGCTGATGAGAGGCTTGGTCGCTGCAGACTGCGCTTTCAGTCCGACTTCTCTTAAACAGATCTTTACCCTATTCAGTGTTCAACTGGTGAGCAATTCCAGCTGCCGTGCTGAACCGATTCCCCCAGCTGCAGTGCTGAACCGATTCCCCCATGAGATTCTCAGCATTGTCCTGTCTTCTCGTGCATTTGTCTTATGTAGACGACCAGCCTTTTTGGGGGGACTTGAATGAATTGGTGTCATTGTAAAGCTGCAATATTTGAGAAATCACAGATTTGGAACGACCAGCTTCTCTTGCAGTGCCTGAAAGTGTCACTCTCTTTGGCCTTCATCTGGACCGCCTCCCGTCACAGGCTTTCAGTCATCTTAGAGCGGCCCGCCATCTTGCAATCTCAGTGAAAATTAGAGGAATGTTTCCACGAAACATACGACGATGATACCTTGATGTTTGCATTCCTGTTAACCAAGTCTAATATGTAACCTCTTCAAATCAGATGTTTTTGTAGTATGCGGCACTATTCACAGTATACAAACACCTATATGCACTGAATAACTACTTTTGTCAAAATGTGTTGCATACAACCAGAGTACATTGCTTGAAATATATCATATCCCACAATGCAGTGTACCTGATTTGACTCATTATTCAATCAGACACAAAACTGGGTTAAAAATGGAAAATGTCTCTTTATGTCTGAAATAATAACAATACGCCACTCGCTGCATTAAACATGCAACATAATCAGGTAAAGTGATAGTTGCTTACAACTGTCTGAAATGCATCACATAACACATATGGTTTCACTATTTTAAAAATACTATGCAGTATTCAGTAGACATGTATAGTTAGTGTTGTCTTACCGGCTGGTGCTCTCTTTGGGCAGTATGTATGAGAGTTCAGCGCCTGCAGTGCTCTCTAGAGTGGCGTCGGGAACATACATGTGCACTAGACGGCTGATCTCTGACACATTACAAAACGCGTCTTTTACTATAACCATGTGGTAACCAGCACCTGTAGAAATACAAGATTAAATTAGATCAATATTTTTTTAGTGAGATATGTCCTTACTGGAGCAAAACACTACTTTTAGCACTCTTTACTACTCTTTTATTGCTATCATAAATTCTGCAAAAAAAAAATTATAATATAATAGAAGACAAAATTTATATATAATATAATATCAATTTTATGTTTATGTATATGCATGTGTGTGTGCGTGTGTGCATAAAATGTATGTATATAAAACTGAATTATGTTAAATGAAATATATCTGAAATAAACTAAATAATTAATAATAAATATAATCAATAAATACTGAGATGAAAAACTAAAGCTTAAAAAAAAGTAAAAAAACAAATAAATAAAATAATAGAAATATTGCCTTGGCAACTGAAATAAGTTGAGGTGCTGAAATTAAAAAATAATGGAAAAAATGCCAGTAAAATAGAAATAAAAATAAATTTAAGCTACAGAGAAACATAAAAAAAACAATAAAAATGACAAAAATCAATTAACAAAAGTACAAAAAATATACATTTTGAATATAAAATATAACCGTTCTAATATAAAAATAAAAACAATTCAAAACATTAATAAATAATATGAAACAAGTCGGCTAAAACGTCCGCTCATCCACATCATTCACTTTAAAATATAATCTTTCTGCTCCTCTCATGATCTTGAGGTGGTCTCACCGTATTTGTTCTTGAGGAAGAGCGGCGAGCCGCAGCATTGTAGCTCTCCGCTAGCCATGATGGCGATCCGATCTCCCAGCAGGTCAGCCTCGTCCATGAAGTGCGTGGTCAGCAGGATGGTGCGGCCGCGCTTCTCGCCCTGCAGCAGGTCCCAGATGGCCCGGCGGGCTGAGGGGTCCATTCCTGAGGTGGGCTCGTCCAACATCACCACCTACAGGGAAATAAACAAAACCACATGGGCAGTGTTAGCACTAGAGTGGCTAACGCTAATGGGAAACCTTTATGGAAAACCAGTTTACAATTCTTTATCTCACTGATACAACCAGTATAGCCATGCTAACTAGCACAAACTAACCTTGACCAAAATGGAAATAGAATGCAACATAAAAACATCTGCTAAACATAAAATGTACCGTGAAATACAAAGTGTTGCCTGACCTTTGAGTCTCCAATTAAAGCAATGCCGATGGAAAGCTTCCTCTTCATCCCACCAGAGAGGGTTTTGGATCGTGCATGGCGCTTATCCTCCAAATTCAGGATCCGAAGGATGCGGTCCACCTCATCAGGGATCTTTTCGCAAGGATAACCCTTCAGCTGAAGAGAAGAAACAAGATTTGTAAAGATCCATCCCAAAGCTGAATACAGTGCAACAGTCGGTTTCATAAGCAAAAATGCCATTCATTTTCTCCATCGGCCAACAGATTTCTAACGATAACTTGTAAACCTTTAAAAACAGATGTTCTGTGAGCTGCGAGGCTGTTCATCGAAGGTATATGCTGTTATTGAAGCCATTGGGCCACATTTCAACTTTTTTTTCAAATCGTGTTTAACAGTGAAATTCCTGGTGATAAACGACATTACCCATGATTCTGCAGAGAAATCTCCAACAATTAGAGAACCGCAACAAGCAAATCACACCAAAAAACCTTACAGACATGAAAAATATATCTATAGAGAGTGAAATGTCTACTTTCAAATGAAACAAATCAAATGTGAAAAAAACGAATATTCTCAGATTATGTAATCCGTATGAAACTTGCATGCAGGCGCATCCACTACTGTGGAGATGACGAGTCAGTGTCGCCGAATTCATCTCTTAAGCCGAAATCACAGGAAATACAAGTTTATCAATAGATTATTAAAATGTTAATGCAGTTTAATCTGACTGTTTTTCCCTGACACATTCATCATCATTACTTCTGCTGCTGCGCTATGGCAAGCTTTATATGTGCGCTTGAGCGCTTATTAGGCTATGTAGGCAATTAAAGGCTCATTAGCATGATTTAAATGGTTTATTAATAAACGTGCGATTAGTCGACTAATGCTTCAAATGAACGACTACTAGTCGACCAGAAAAATCTTTAGTCGAGGGCAGCCCTAGATGGCAGAGAGAATAGAGACTCCGGCAGCATTTTCAGTGAGTTATTCATTCCAGTGTGTGTCACTTTAAAACTCTGCCGAGCTCTGTCATATTCTGGGATTGTTTCTGAAGAGTGTGAGAGCTCTCTCACACGTCGCGCTGTGTGAAATGCAGACTGAACAGAACGTTAAAACATCACACCGCATGATAAGCAAACTACGTTGCTCAGCTGGATAAAGCAAACCAGCTTCTCACTAGTACAGTTTTGATGGATGAGGATTGCAATCAAGGTAAAGACGATTGCGGTGAGAGGAGTCGTACAGTAAAAGCACGCGTGAGTCTGATATATTGATGCGCAAACAAACAGTGTATGTGCGCTCTTGACGCACAGATCATACATTGTATTTATGCACAGACACTTTTCAGTACATCCACGTTGTTTCCACACATTCAGGATAATGTGTTTGACTGTTAATAGGGTTTTGGGGACCAGACAGGACTTGTCGTTAACAGGTTTTGGGTATTAGATAATTTTGCTGACTAGTTGTTCTGTTACCAGACAAAACGGATATTTTCTGACATGATCTGGAGTCCAGGGCTGGATCTGATATTTCTGCCGTGGAGGCATGATCTAACTATATATATATATATATATAAGATTTGACTATGTCATTTGCAGTACTTCATGGGATTGTAGTTCTTTCCCTCATTAAAGCCGCTAAGTACTTTGTCTTTTTGCCTAATTTCCAAATAGCTTTTTGCTTCAAATCAAAGTTTGTAACATTTTGCTTTACCTCATAGCCCACAGTCAAACTAAACCATTAAAAAAAACTTTTGTTACTTCAAATACAATAAACTTTGACTGAAATAAAATAAAATGTCTATATTAAAAAATATATGTAAACTTATTTTCTCAACTACTTTACAAGGCAGCATTTCTTATTTGTTTAGTTTAACTTGACATACTAAAATAACTAAACAAATTAAAACTGACATGAATAAAAACCATATAGACATACATAGAAAAAACTAATAAAAATAACAAAACACAAGAAAGTTTACAAAAATTAAACTTTAACAAAACCATAAAAAACTTGTGTTACTTGACAATAAACTTTATTTGAAATAAAATAAAATTATATTTAAAAAAAACCTTAAATTTATTTTCTTTCACGAGTTGCCAAGGCAACATTTCTCATTTTCATTTAGCTTAACTTAATGTACTAAAATAACAAACTAAAACTGAAATAAAAAATTATATAAACGAAGTAGACGTATAGACAGAAAAAATAGTATAATAGTGTAAAAGTATCTCAGTGATACTAAAATAACACTGGTAGCTGGTTGGTTTGGTTGACGACTTTTAAGTCTTTAACGTTAATGAAGCTTTTTTTTTTTTAAGAAATTACTATGGTAAAAAAATGAATGGAAAAATACGTTCAGAACCACAGTCGTGAATAATGTGGGCGGGGACTGTTGTGCTCTATTACAATTAAAATTAATTTTCAAAAAAAGCACATGTAGGACATTTAATCAGAAAAAAACAGATACCATTTACAATCACAGAGCTAGGTATTTTATAGACGTCCTCGATCTGCGTCTACCTGTGTGTAGAAGAGCAGGTGCTCTCGGACGTTGAGGTTGTCGAAGAGCACGTCATGCTGCGGACACAGGCCCAGGCTGCGGCGGATCAGAGCCATATCCTGACATATGTCGTAACCATTAATGTACGCACGACCACTGCTGGGCGGGAAAAGGCCTGAGAATGAAGAAAAAAAGAGAGTTTGAATGGTGGAAAGCAGCGATCAACTCTGCCTGACCTCCATAAGCACTGTTTACAACAGTTACAGCTGAATCAATGGTGTAGCTGCTAGCGATGAGAGATAACATTTAGCTTGACTTAGCAGGTAAGACTGTGTGCGATCAGAGGGTTGTATTTAGCTGAATATGCAGATCTAAAGACTTCTGTAAGTCGTTCTGGATAAGAACATTTGCTAACTGACTTAAATGTGATCCTGGATCACAAAACCAGTCGCTGGGGTATATTTGTAGCATTAGCCAAAAATACATTGTATGGGTCAAAATTATCGATTTTTCTTTTATGCCAAAAATCATTAGGATATTAAGTAAAGATCATGTTCCATGAAGATATTTTGTAAATTTCCTACCGTAAATATATCAAAAATGTATTATCATTAGTAATATGCATTGCTAAGGACTTTATTTGGACAACTTTAAAGGCGATTTTCTCAATATTTAGATTTTTTTTGCACCCTCAGATTCCAGATTTTCAAATAGTTGTATCTCGGTCCTATCCTCACAAACCATACATCAATGGAAAGCTTATTTATTCAGCTTTCAGATGATGTGTAAATCTCAATTTAAAAAAATTTACCCTTATGACTGGTTTTGTGGTCCAGTGTCACAAATATGAATGAGACGGTCAGGCTAAGCTAAATGAAAGCTACACTTGCTTGTAGCCATACTACAAGCTGCTAACAAAGAGTAGCTAAACGGCGAAGGTATTCAAGGAGACCATATCTTTTTAACTTATAATCAGTTTATATGCAGTGTTGTGAAGCTACTTTCAAACTAGCTACAAGCTAATCTTACTTTCAAGGTAAATTAAAAGCTATACTAACTTGTAGCTATAAAAGTTGATAAAATAAGCTAAACTGAGCTTTTTAAGGGGGCAATATGTTTTTAAAATACTGTATAACTATGTTCAGTTTATATATAGAGTTGTGAAGCTACTGTCAAACTAGCTACAAGCTAATCATAAATTAAAAGCCAGACTAGCTTGTAGCTATACAAGCTGCTAACAAAAAAATAAACTGAAGGTATTTAAGGGGACAATATCTTTTTAAAAATATTACTATATAACTTATAATCAGTTTAAAAATATAATTTATAATCAGTATACAGTGTTGTGAAGCTAACTTGCTTTCAAACTTGCTACAATCTAATCATAAGTAACAGTAATATCGCAGTAATATCGTACTGTGCCATGGTACAACAGTAATACCCATTCTCTCAAGAAAGAAACTCGTAGTCTTGAGCACAAATGGAGAAAAACTAACTTGGAAGTTTTTAGAATTGCGTGGAAAAACAGTATGTCCAGCTATAGACAGGCTCAAAAAGCTGCCAGGGCGTTATACAAATAAACTTGAATTGAATTGAATCATAAGTTCAGGGTAAATTAAAACTACACAGTCTTGTAGCCATGCTATAAGCTGCTAACAAAGAATAGCTAAACTGTGTTTTTAGTGTTGTGAAATTTTTTTCAAAATGGCTACAAGCTACTGATAATTTAATATAGTTAGACAAGTTGCTATTTTGAAAAAGTACATAGCTACATTAACTTAGCTACTAACATAAAGTGGCTATAACTACATTGAAGATATTTCAGTTAAAGTCCTTTAAATTATTATCAGATTATATGATTCAGTAAAAAGAGCTATGTTTATCTGGCACAAGATTGACACTTATAAGTTTACAACACCTGATTCATGAATTCACTGAATCATAAACATAGCGGTAAAAGCAGTATTTAATCTTTATTCAACTATAAAACAGATGATAAACAATGTCTCGCCGCACGTTCCAAGAACACAACATAGATATGATTCAAATGAATCAAGTAAATCATTTATTGAACCAGTTCATTAAAATGAACTCGGTAAAACAAATCACATTTCCTAAAGCAATTTGAGAGGGACAGCCACACTATTTCATATATAAAACTGCATTGCTGTGTTCATTACCGGTCAGCATTGATAGTGTGGTGGTCTTGCCCGCGCCGTTGTGACCCAGCAGGACAGTGATCTGGCCTTCAAACATGTTGAGCGTTAAATCCCTCACCGCCTCCTTGGTCTTATTGCCCACTTTGAACACCTGTGACAGAACAATCCACATGCTCACGTTTTCCAACAGCTTCTACATGTCTCTATCACACTGCCCATACACAGACAGACACAGACACAGACAGACACACACAGAGTCTACCATCTGCTACCAGCTATATTAAAGCAATATAGCTGCAAGCAGCGATTATCGGGATTCAAGCGCTTTAAGGCATTTAAGCACATATGAAAAAAGACAATACATACTATTTAGCAAGCCTGTAACCACCCAAATCAATGATTAAAAAAAGCATTTTTGGGTAATTTGCCTAAGTAGAACCCAGGTAATTTGCCATAGAAATATGATGATTTTTAACGGTTATGACTGTTATAGCGCCAGCTGTGGTCCGATCTCCATAAAACTGTCACCAAGTTTTGGGGTTTCGTTTAAGCTTTTGGGTATGTTTGGACAGGCCCCTTTTCAAAACGACCTCGTTATAGCTACCCAAAGGGTAAAGTTCAAAAATTTTTTGATAATTATTGACCTAGAGAGTCCAGAGAATTGTACTGCAGTGGAGTTTTTCGAGCGAAAAACCTAGGACTAGTTCGCAAAAGCAGTTTTTTTTTTGTTTTGTTTTTTACATATTCATTCAAGTTGTTCATAATGAGGAGTTCTATCCTACGATACAAATATATTGTGTGTCTGTGTGAAGAAGCGCGCAATATACCGTATTGACCCGAATATAAGACGATGTTTTTTTCTTGGAAATACATCTGAAAAAACGCGGTCGTCTTATATTCAGGCCAATACGGTACAATGGTTTACGCCCTTGAAAACCGATTTCTTTCAAGTTTTGTTCCGATCGACCTCCATTAACCTTGTCTAACAGGTGCTCAAAGTTCATTGGCCAATGGCCTAAAAACACAGTGCGTCTGATGATACCTTTGCCAAATGTTTGATCTTGACCCCCGAGACCAGTCCAGCTGGCTCCTCTTCAAAGAATTCGCCCTTCGACACCTTCTCGGCCTCCTCCTCTTCCTCCTTCTCCTTCAGCAGGGTCACACGAGGGCTGCTGCACCAGTATGAGGGCTGAGAGCAGATGAGGAGGAGAAATATTAGATAAATACATTCATAACATCACACCATAATGGCTAAATGTTCCCCATTGGTTTCATGATGAAGAACTGCTAAATATTCATATAATGTTCTCTCTCATAAAATGTAAATGAGTGCAAAAGGCCCATTCACGCTAAGAGCGATAATTATAAGATAATGACAACTATATTAGTGTTCACACCAAAGATGGATTCTGGTTGGCAGTCAATGTTTTTTATCGTTCATCAGCTGGAAAAAATTATTCTGTAAGTGATTCCAACGATATCATTCCTCTGTATCGTTATCATTAGAGTTGTGGTGCGGATTCCGATATTCTCTTAAATTTAGAACGATTTTTTAAAACTTTAACTTTATAGTTAACGTTGTCCCGAAATTCCTGATTGTGTGGATTCCCACTGAAGTTTACACATGAGTTTATTGGTGCAATTCGGAGGTTTCTGTAAATAATTTGTTTATATGTAGAGTTACATTTCAACTAAGTTTAATCCTGCAACGCAGACCATTAAACTGTTGAAAAAACTAATCCGTTTCTGCTGCGAATTAGAGTGACCAACCTGAACCGGCTGCGAAACCAACTTTAGCCACATTGTGTGGACTCGCATTGAAATAACTGGATTTCACGGAAATTTGTTGAACAACGTTAAATGTGACTGCACCATAAATGTTTCAAGTCTGTCACGTAAAACGTGAGTCTAAGGGACCTTTTTCACCAGTTAACTTAAAAATAGCAAATCTGCATTGCTGAAAAAACATGCTTAAACCAGCCTAAGCTGGTTTGCTGGTCTTAATTGGTTTAAGACTAGCCAAGCTAGTCTTCAGCTGATTTGAAAGTGCCTAAAACTTCTCTAAACCTAGCGGTTTTCAACCTTTTTAGACTCAAAGGCCCCCCATTGTCCATAACAAAATTCAACTTTTCCAGTTGTTCGTGATTTACAGGATAAGAATTTTTTAAAATATTTTTTTACTCACAGTTTATATCTGATGAAATATTGCAGCCCTTGGCATAACTAGAAACATTTATAAAAATGCCTACGACTTTTCCAGGTCTAGAAATCACACTTTTAAAATTAGGCTTCCTCATATATCCAGGTTTTTCTGAACCCTGAGTTTGAACCTTGGTATGAGAAATAATAAAATTAAATTATTAATATAAGAAATAACCATTTTAGTAGTTTTATCTTATTTAATGCTTGTTTGGCCTTATTTTAAATCATTTTAAGTCATCTTGAAGCCTCCTTTTTTTGCTGAGTTTGTTAAGGCCTGCAGGTTGATACAGTCCAGGTGAAGACCAGAAAACCAGCTTAGGCTGGTTTAAGATGTTCATTTCAGGGTGCTCAGGCAACATTTAATGCAACATTCATTATGTCCACAGAATAAACTGTGTCAGAGTTATAGCCAAAGGTCAAATCCCTAACCGTGAACAACAGTAATAGTGATGCTTGCCTTAGAAAATAGCACTAAAAACATACTAAGTAACTAATTAAGTTTAAAGGGGTCCTATTATGCTCTTTTACAAAGTCTTGATTTTGTTTTGGGGGTATACTAGAACAGGCTCTCATATAGCGTGTCTCTGACATAGTGATAACACTTGTTGCCTTCTTTAGCGCAGCTCAACCAGGTCTCATCCCATTCGTCGATATTTGTGATATCACAAATCCAGGAAAATATGCGTTCGTTGTAGTTTTTGAAAAGTGATTTCTGTTAAATAAAATATCTCCTTCTGAAGTGGACTTTGAGCTTTGTAACTTCGCAGATCTTTTTTATGCTCAAACAGCAACATTACAGACTAACTAAAGTTGAAAAAGTGAAAAAGCATAATAGGACCCCTTTAAGAAATTCCTGTAAACCCATAAATCAGTAAAAACATTTACAGATAAGCTCAAAAACCAGGTCATTCATTACATCTGTTTACAAAGGCATTTGTGTATTAACATGTTAGACATCCACTGAGTCAAAGGCGTGACCCAGGAGGTCATTGTCTGATCACTGTTTGGTTCATCTTATACCGACCTACAGGCAGAAACTGAAATCAGCTAAACCTGTATTAAGGACTGTAAAAAGATGGACTAATGAAGCAGAGCAGGATTTACAAGCTTGTTTTGAGCTCACTGATTGGAGCGTCTTTGAAGCTGCTGCCACCGATCTGGACGAGCTCACAGAGACTGTAACATCATATATCAGTTTCTGTGAAGACATGTGCATCCCTACCAGGACTCACAGAACGGCCAGACACAGGAACAGTTTCTTCCCTCAGGCAATTAATCTCATGATCACTTAACAATAACTGTGGAACACACACTATTTATTCACTCATACACTTATTTATCTAACACACATACTCAGACTACACCTCAAATTTGCACATAATATACAGTACCTGTACATGCAAAACTGTCTATTGTAATATACCTGCACGTACAATTGTCAATTTATATATTTTTATTCCTTATTTACTTGTTCTATTTTTTATTATGTGTGTTTTTTGTTCTGTCACTGTCATTCTGTTACACTGTGGAAGCTTCTGTCACGAAAACAAATTCCTCGTATGTGTAAACATACCTGGCAATAAAGCTCATTCTGATTCTGATTCTGATTGTTTCACATCACTTTCACTCTGATGGGGTCTTTATTGACGCCCCATTGATAAGCCTGTCTGCAAACACGAGCATTGACGCAGCGGGTGTCCTACATATACAATAGCTCTGCGCAAATCACGCCGCTGTTCGTCATCCCCTCCCTCTTCACGCCCTACAGTAAATCCTGTACGTCTGGAGATAAGGCTGCGCAAGCACTTCCTGGCCGTCTTGATGACATAAGCGCGGTTTTCCTGCCGAGACCAAATGCTTCCTGTCTTTCAGGAGCCCGTCGGTCAGGAAAGACACTCAGGTTGCGCTCGTGCTGGATCACACTCTCTTGCACTTTAAAAACTTCCCATGGGTGAACCGCTGATCTCTGCAACAAGTTCATGAGGCCAAAATAGAGCTATTTTGACCATAGTTTCGCAAGAACACTAATCCATGTGACGCGCACGAGGAAGCTTGAGGATTGAGGAAATAATCGCTCAAAATAAACAGTCATGGTCAAAAACATTGAGCATAGTTACACTTTTAAAGGCCGGATTTACGAAACATTCTGCTATTATCTTCTTATTTTCTAAGAATAAATGTAAGAATATTTTGCATAGCAAAAAACATTGCTTTTTTTTTCTTTTGATTGTTCTTTGAGCTAGTGTTAATTTCGTTAACGAAGACTATGACGAAAAATGTTCGTTGACAAGCTTTTTTCCCATGAGGTCAATAAAATAATAAGGTCAATAAAAGATAACTATGACTATATCAACATGCAATTTCGTTGACGAAATAAGACGAGACTAAAATGTATTCATAAAAAATACAAACTTTACCAAAAATCTCTTTATTTTCGTCAAAAAAAGGAGACAAAATGTTATTGCAGACTGCTCTACACTCTACCACTACTACGCGAGCTTTCATGAGTGCGGTTGCCAGATATCAAGAGTTCTAATCCCCGAATCAGAGCTTCGCTGTTACAAGGATACATTTTCATTTCATTTTTCATTCATACATTTGAGTAAGACTAAGACTAAATTAAAAATGGCTGCCAAAATTAATACTGTACGGTTAATAATAATAATAAAGTTTTAATTGACTAAAACTAGACTAAAATACTTCAGGTATTCTTGGACTAAAACTAGACTAAAATGTTGAGACTTTTAGTCGACTAAAACTAAATAGGACAAGGTTGACTAAATATGATAAAAACTAACAAGGACATTTTAACACGGGACCAGAGGTGGACAGTAGTGAAGTATTTTTACTTTACTCAAGTAAATTTAAAATTATCTGTAGTTTAACAGAGTGTTTTTCTTTGGAAAACTTTTACTTCACTACATTCCAAAGCATAATATCTTACTTTTTACTGCACTACATTTCATAAATAATAGTTGTTGTTTGTTTTACCTTTCATACTTAAAAACATTAAAAATGTAGTACTTTCTTGTACTCAAGTAAATCTTTCAATTACTTTTACAGCAGAGTAAAAATACTTCACTACTGTCCGCCTCTGCACGGGACTAAGACTAAGACTAAATTGAAAATAGCTGACAAAATTAACACTACTTTGAGCTCATTAAAATAATGTTTTTAAAAATCACACATTAAAGTTTGAATAACCTCCGACTTTAATTCTCAAAGGGAAGATGTTTAATGAATTCACAGGTTGTTTCAAATATTTAGCATTACAACATAACATTAGTGACATTTACATTATGATTACTAGGGACGTGCATTAGTTCAAAGTGATAATATAAATGATCAGTCATGATTATACATGATGTGACTTTTTGCTTATTCCTTTTCTTTGCTTGCCAATTTCTGAAATTTTACACACCCTTTAAGAAACAGCTTAACTTCTTTGTCAATTCAACCCCTATTTTCAATGCAGCTTAAATTGACCAAAAATATGGCTACAGTTAGACAATACTTATCCAACCAAATGTACTGACAACATAACCATTTCTTATCGTAAGTTTAATGCTATCAATGTTGATACATTTACTGCCTCTATTGCTTCATCTGTTATTTCTGATGTTTTCAATTTTACCTGTCCATCCAAGATATCTGATTTGTACCACTCTGCTATTGATGATGTTTTAGACGAGCATGCTCCAATTAGGACTAAGTCTGTTCCCATGCCCAGCTCCTCTCCATGGTTTAATGATGAGCTACGTGCTATGAAAGCAAAAGGCAGGCAACTTGAACACCTTTTTAGGAAAACAGGTTTAACTGTACACTTTCAGGCATTTTCAGATCATGTTAAGCACTATAAAACTGCCTTGAACGAAGCTCACTCTTCCTATATTTCCAAAATTATTAAAGCAAACAATAGGCCTATCACTAATCACAAATCACTTTTTAGCATGGTGAATAGGCTAGTTCAGGCTCCCATGCATAATGCCTTTCAACAAGAATCTGACGATCTATGCTGTTCTTTTTTATGCCATTTTCAGGGCAAGCTGGACGCCATATGTGGGACATTTGATGTAGAACTGACCACTTCTACTTGTGAGCTAGCATGGACTCATGTGCCTCTCAGAGATTGGCATCTCAGGAGCTGCGTTATCTTGGTTTTCCTCATATTTGACGGACAGACAATACTACAGCACCATACATAGCTATAAATCTCCCTCTGTCCCTCTTAAACAGGGTATGCCACAGGGCTCAGTCCTAGGGCCATTATTATTTATATCATGCCCCTCTGACAAATTATTCGCCGCCACGGTTTATAGTACCACTGCTATGCTGATGATATTCAGATATACACTTCCTGCCGACCTGACTCTATTCACCAGACTGCATCTCTATTGTCATGCGTCAATGAGTTAAAGACCTGGCTTAGCTCCAACTCTCTCAGTTTGAATTTGACTAAAACAGATATCTTACTTGTCGGGCCCCCAACTGTAACAAAAAACATAACAAATGCCCCTAGATTTGACCTCGAAGCCACATCAATTATTCCATCTGCCACAGTTAAAAACTTAGTTATCATTCTTGACTCTTCTTTAAACCTAGATGCTTATATCAGTAAGCTCTCCAAAGCTGCATTTTTTCAACTTCGCCGTATTGCCAAACTCCATTCCTTCATCAGCCCAAAAGATGCTGAATTACTAGTACATGCTTTAATCACATCCCGCCTTGATTACTGTAACGCTCTTTTTTCCGGATTACCATTACGCTCCATCAAAATTCTGCTGCGAGAATGCTAACTTACACTAAAGGTCTGCACATATCACTCCAATTCTGGTCAACCTCCACTGGCTACCTGTGTCCTCTCGTATCATTTATAAAAATTCTTCTGCTTACCTTTAAGTCACTCCATGGACTTGCACCTACCTATCTCTCTGACCTGCTTTCTCCATACATTCCCTCTCGTCCACTTCGATCATCTGGAGATGAACTTCTTTGTGTTCCGAGATTTCGCCTATTATCTATGGAAGGTAGATCTTTCTCTGTTTTGGCTCCCAAAATTTGGAACACATTGCCCCTAGCTCTTCGGACAATAACCACACTCCACGAATTTAAGTCTAAACTCAAAACCTATATGTTCAACCAATATTACCTGTTATAATGCATGTGATCAGTGCCATATTCAGACAAAGAAACACCGACAACAGAACAACAGACAGCAGAATGGAGTTATAAGAGATTAAGGATGTCTACGAAGTATATGTATGCAATGAATATAATTGTGTGTGTGTGTGTGTGTGTGTGTATTTGTATTTCCCATTATTCACAATGCTGAATGTCTAAATAAACTTAGTGTAATACAATAATTCATAACGATTTAAATAAATTACAAAAATAGAAGGCAACAGCAAATACTTGCATCATTTATAAATACTTACATAATATTTCAATAATATTTTTTTATTTTATTATTATTATTATTTTATTTATTTATTTTTTGTATAGTGCTTCATTATTAATGAGAATTTGGAGAGTATGGATGTCTGATTTTGCCACAGGAAAAAGAGGCAACAAATACTACCATTATTTATAAAGAATTTAATATTTAAATAATATTCATTTTTATGTTTTATTTTAATTTGAAAACAATTCAAATAACATTTCATTATTTTCCCCCCACATTATACCAATGAGATTTGGGAATTAATGTATTAAAGTCTGATTCTGACACAGGAAGAAAGAAAAAAAGACAATTGTAAAAGAAACAAACAAACAAAAAGGTTAAATTATTTTAGTATTTATATATAAATATATTATTTATAAATACACTGGACTTTTAAGGACTTTTCTCTGGAATAATACGTACCAGGATGAAGAAGTACCACGGGCGAGGGACTCCATATTCTCCCGGAAACACGGCTTCCACGTACCAGGCAACCAGACCGTACAGCACAGAGTCCAGCAACAGCAGTCCCAGCACTTGAGCCAGAGAGAAGTCATCGTCCACCGTCACCGGCTCAAACAGGTTATGCCACTGGATGCCCGTCCCTGAGGAGACACAGGACACGAGCGTCAGCTTAAGATGCGTGATTAGAGCAGCAGCAGTGTCAGGTTCAGTCGGACCCCTGACCTTTGCCCTCAAACATGCCGATCAGCTGGGCTCCCATGGCCATGGCCACGTTGGAGATGAGGCAGGCGGAGACTTTCTGGGCGTGCGACAGCAGGTCATAGCGAGGCCACAGGAAGACGTACGGCAGGTAGCTCAGGAAGTAGATGAAGCCGCCCGCTGCTGCGGCGAAGAAAGAAAAAAAGACAATTGTAAAAGAAACAAACAAACAAAAAGGTTAAATTATTTTAGTATTTATATATAAATATATTATTTATAAATACACTGGACTTTTAAGGACTTTTCTCTGGAAGCCTGTTAGAAAATAAATAATTTTGGGGTAAATGTGACCAGGCCATTTTTGTGCCATTTACTCTCCCCAGCACGAGGTTCAGTGTATGAGATTTAATGATGGATGTGTGATGTGAATCAGTGAATCAAACCCCTGCACTCATTCACACACACGGCCTCGAGCTATATTCCCCGTCACCCTCAAACAGCCACAAAAGAGCAAATGAGAGAGAAGTGAAAAGAGTGGCACCGCTGTTCATCAAATGGAAGAAAATGACACACTGGGCTATTTTTACATTCACATCTCGGAGGGACGCAAAGATGCGGAGAACTTCTTCACACTCAACAATATGTCATTTGGGCTCTGAATGGGCCAGACCGGCGGAGCAGGACATGCTGATTAAGATCCATTTTCAGCCTTTCTCAACCCGAGAGCACGAGTCTCTATGGGCTTTTGAATAAAAGAGTTCGTTGAACCACATCGATTCGATTTCAGACACGTGCTGTAAGAAAAAACAGCCGACCCTGTTCTGCATCACATATATCAGCTGTATAAAACCACAACAATAAATAATAAATGTTATAATGAAACAAGATCCCGTCAAGAAAATGCACAGGTCATATTTCACCTTTAAAATAAAACAAGACATTCTATATAGCTTAAAGAAATGTCAAATTTTAAAATTATTAAGCGTTTTGGCATTGTTTTGCATCTGTAATGCAAAAAAAGAGATGAAATTGCAATTAAACTTTTGAATTTTTATACATCACAGTAGTATTTGTTGTACTGGTTTTAGTTTAAAATAAAAGAAATAAAAAAAGAAACGAACATGAATAAAATGAAAAAATAATAAAATACATTTAATAAATAAATAAATAAATAAAATTCTAATAAATAAAAATAAATGTATTTACACTGCGGTAATAAAAATGTAACAAAAAAAATCTTAACGGTCCTAAATTAGCTTTAAGTAAGTTTTTTGTTTTTAATTTTTTTGATGAAATTAATAAAGTATATGAACACATTTTCAGAGATGGTTGAACTGAAGCTTTGACATGAAAAGCTAACCAAAGTTGAATTAGGTAAATGAAGCATGAACCTTACGAATAGGTAAATCTACAATGAACATCTAACATATTACTGTCAACCAAAGCATTTGCCTTGAGACCAAACAAGCAAACATTTCTCTTAAAAGCACAGAGTGTCAGCTGATTTTTTACACAGGACAACATATGAGATTACATTTCCTGCCTGAGGCTGCATTTTCCAGCAATACAGACATGCACTGCCTAATTTTCCTCCTACACATGATGCTATGTGTCAGAATTTAATGCCAGAGCGCCTGAAAATGTTTTCAAAACTGCCCTTTAAAAGGATTCTAACTCATTTGATGATTTTATTAATGCATCAGCAAGCATATTTGAGCTTTTTTATTCAATGCAATTTACTGAACAAACCCGTTCACGCAAAAAGAAAAAATTAAACGTGTCGTGCCAGGTTTTAAAATGCAGAAATGTGAACAAGATTGGAGAGTAAGAGCAGAAGGCATGCTATTTTAGTGAACAGAAGCTAAAGTTTTGTCTGGTTCTTCACACACAAAAAAATCATGTACCATTTTGTCTTTTTGGAGATATGCATGGCAAAAAATAAATGATTTTCTCACTCAGTATTTTTGTCTTGTTTTCCAGTACAAATATCTACACATTCTTAAATCAAGATTCATTTACTTGAGGTGCAAAATGACTTCAGATACAAAGTCTCATTTTCTGGAAAACAAAGTATCAAAATTAAGTGAGTTTATACTTAAAGGAGACATATTATGTCCCTTTTTACAATATGTAATATAAGTCTCTGGTGTCCCCAGACTGTGTCTGTAAAGTTTCAGCTCAAAATACTCCACAGATCATTAATTATATAATTTTGAAAATGTCTATTTTGAGTGGAAGCTGAAACACGCTGTTTTTCGGGCCTGTGTCTTTAAATGCAAATGAGCTGCTGCTCCCCGCCCCCTTTTCCAGAATAGAGCTGCGCCATTACAGCTCGTACCTGCTAAAAACATCTGTTTTCAATACAAATAGTGTGCCTCCTCTATTTTAAAACCCACGAGCCGCCACTGCTTGGTTGGTAGATGCACCGGGGGACCTGATTATAGCACTTAAAACCTGGAAAAGTCAGATTTTCATGATATGTCACCTTTAAAACAAGGAAAAAATGAGGTAAGAAAAATAAACTTGATTCAAAAGGAAAACCCAATTATTTTTCTCACCCCACTGGCAGATATTTGTTCTTGTTTTAACCATAAACTCACTAAATTTTGACTTGTTTTTTTTTTTTTTTTGAAAAACAAGACTTCATATCTTAAGTCATTTTGCTTCTCAAGTAAATCCTGATGTAATTTTTTTCAGATATTTGTACTGGAAATTAAGACAAAAATATTACATAAGAAAATAATTTTGTGGTCACCATCCGCTTTCATTATATGGAAATGATCAGCTTAGAAAAAGCGTGATTTTTGCATATTTTTTTGCAACATGTGGTCGAGTAAATGATGAGCGAGTAGTGATTTTTCGCTGAACTACAGCTTCAACTCAAAACCACACGTGGTAAAACGGCCGGTTCTCAAATCAGTGTAGTTTCCATAATGAGTCACTTGCGAACACAATAACGAAATGAAACGGAATGTACACCAATGCATGTCTGATTTTCTATTCTTTCTTCCCATCAGGATGAAGAGTTAGGGCGTGATGAATCCGCTCTTAAAGCAGCTATGTACATCTACACATCTTATTATTAGCTCGCCCGAGGGCCACCGTGCTCACAAGCGCCAATCAAACACAATACAGTCCAGCCACGACTCCTGCTTTCACTCACTAAAAGCATCTCAAGCATCAAAAGAGTCAATAACTGCAACCTGAACATTTGCCCTCAGCTGGTTACCTGCTTTTACACACCGTTTGTAGTAATCAGAGGTTTTTGTTTGGCAGAGAAAAGAAAACATAGCGCAGGTTATGGACAAAAAAGAGCTGATTTTTGAAAGCTTTGTGAGAGTTGAGTTTAAATGCAGCTCATTTTGTTTGTGCATGGAGCCAAAAATACTGCAAATATGTCCTGGTCATTTCTTTGGTCACCTCTGCTTTCTCTGTAATCTGTTGATTACGAGGCTGTGGTTCTCGCCGTAATAAGGCTGTTTGATTAAAGCTCTGTATATACAGTATATGTGCTATAAATGCACACTGTTAGGGTCCAACAGAGAAAAGAGTGTAATGACCATTCTGTTCCGTGATGAAAAGAGAAATCACACTTTCACAGAGCAGAGATGGAGAAGTCACCTCTGGAGAAGAAGGCGCTGATCATGAAGCTGAAGTTAATGGTGGACACGGCAAACACCAGCAGGAAGAAAAACACCAGCGTGGGGTCACTGTAGGTCAACACCGCTCCGTTAGGACTCACCTGACAGGAAAACAACACATACATGAGCTACACATAGCAAACAGTGTGGACTATCTCAGATGGGAAACTTAAAAAAATTCAAAATGATGTTTCGGATTCTCATTGTACTTCATGATTCTGATTCCTTAGAGAATCTATTAACAGTTTATTGCACTCCTTCAGTTACAATATGGTGTAGAGAAATGTATTTATTTGTTTAAATAAAAATATCAAGAACTTTTTTGCTGTTGTGAAAAAAAAAAATCTTTTTTGGCTTCAGAGAACTGTATTATTATTACTATTATTATTAACCTTTTTTTTTATTTTTTATTCAAGTTTATAGTTTTATACAAGTATTTACTTGTACTTAGTTTTGTACTGTTTTATATTTTATTAATTATTCTAAACTTATTTGAAACAATTATTCTATATTTTAATAATCATTTGATTAATTATTGATCTATATATATTTATTTTGTGTGTGTGTGTGTGTGCGTGTGTGTGTGTGTGTGTGTGTGTGTGTGTGTGTGTGTGTGTGTGTATATATACAGTATATAAAATCAGTTTTATACATACAATAATTTGTGGTATTTAAATTGTTTTATTTTATTAAAAATTCAAAAACTTTAAAAATAATAATTTTATTAATTATATACACACACACACACATATACATATATCATATATCATTTATGGTATTTAAAATGTATAATTGCAGAAATTGTATATGTTAATGTTTACTGTAAAAAGATATTAATTAGTGTACGTGTTAGAGTACAAAAAGTTATAAATATTTTAAAACATAATATCTTAAATACCTTTTTTGCTGTTTTTTTTTTTGTTGTTGTTGGCTTCGGAAAATTGTATTATGACCAAACTGCATAATAATACATTCAAATTACTAATTTAATTTTAACATGCAAATTACTAATTAATTTATAGTATTGAGTATTATTTTTGAGTTTTATAGAAGTATTTATTTGAAATGTACATGTACATACTTAGATTTGTACAGTTTTATATTTTAATCATTATTCCTCCTTTTTTCCTCATTTCTTTTCATTTATAACCAGTATTATACATACCACATTATATGGTATTTAATGTTTAGAATTATGGAAATTGTATATGTTAATGTTTACTAGGAAAAAAAGAGACTTCAGTAGCAATTTTTGCTGTATTTTGAGGACATAAAATAATTGGTCTTAACTGTATACTAAAATAATACCTTAAAAAAAAAAATTGGTAACACTTTCTATGAAGCCCGTATTTATAATACATTATAAGGTTATTCTTAAGGCATTATAATGAATGCATAATGCATTATAAAAAAACCTTATAATATGTTGTATTATCTCATGAATATTCATAAGAACAGTTTTAATATATTATAATATTTACTTATTTGTGGTTATAGCTTTTAAGAGTATGATGATTTATAACACAATGAACACATTGCATTCACTTTTACAATGGATTATATTTCTCATAGTTATAATGTATTATAAGTCTCATATCTTGCCATTTTTCTTATGCTACTTTACTTAAAGCGGTCAAAAACCGCTTATAAGTAGTTATAACATATTATAAGTTTTTTTATAATGCATTATGCATTCATTATACATTTTTTAATTAAAGCATAACTCTAAATGCATACTGTACCTTCAGGTAAAAGTTATTATACAAACAAACATACGAGTAAGTATCTATACCATCTGTATCGGTGGAAAAATTTAAATGAACTAAACGTCATGGAAAAAAAAAACACTCGGTTCCAGTGCTTCTGTGCAACAAGTGGAACTTGTTCTGAATAAAAACTGGTTCCTAGTTCTCAAGTGAGCTAAAAAAAAAAAAAACGTTCACAGACATGCAAACAGTATAGTGGTATTTCTAGTAGCACAAGGTACTTACAAAGAACAGATTATATGTGTTTACCTTGACGCAGATAAGCACGGTGACAAAGAAGATGGAGATGGAGAGGAAGAGGAGAAACATGAGGAACCAGGCGCTCCAGTGCAACCAATTGCTGAGACCCATCATGCGCATGTACTCCTGCAACACACACACACACACGGCTGCAGTGAAGCTTTCTTACATCAAGAGCAACAGAATCCACGTTCATGCCCATTTCCTGTACCTTCAGTTTCCTCTCCTTCTCCTGTACTACAGCTCGGACGATGTTCAGAGACGTGTAGGTGAAGCTGAGCACCAGCAGCAGCGGCAGCTGGTTCTGGATGGCCAGGATGAAGACGTCGTACATGAATGCTGGGTAAGGGAAACGAGCCAGCAGCACTTGGGCTCTCTTGAGGAGGGCCGCCGCAGCCGTGCTGTTGTAGGCCTTCATGATGGCCCGGTCCACCGCGTGCTGCACCTGCAGGAAGCCCTCGCGGTGATATCCTGTCCAGACACACACAGTATTCATTAGATTCCACTCAATCAAACTTATGAGCGTTTAACGGAATCGAATGAACTGAGGAGAGTTCTATTGAAAAAATATTCTGGGTTCTGTATACAATACAATACAAGCTGAATTGACAGCATTTGTGGTTTAATGTTGGATACTGCAAATATTCATTTCCACTTATCCTGCTTTTTCTTTAAAAAAACAAAAGTCTGGCTGAATGAGGAAAGTTGTAACCATTAAGATCTCACTGTTTCAATAAAGTCAATACAATGTGTGGTGTAACATGATTTTAATGTGAAAAAATGTATTAATCTTTAGTGTGTCTGAAGTTATATTCGGTTTTAAAAGTTTAACGCTACAAACTGACATAAACAATGAAACCTTAAAAATGATTTAAACCAATTTGTAACTCAATAGTAAGTTTTAACAAAAATATGAATGCAAATGCTTTTATAAAATTATAAACTTTTCATTTTTGCTTTTAAATCCTCAAAAATGAACTGTAAAATTGATGATTTAAAAAAAAAAAAAACATTTTTAGCAGAAGAATAAATGTAAATGCTTTTATAAAATTATAAGCTTCGCATTGCTTCAAACTGACCCCATTCACTTCCATTGTAAATGTCTCACTGTAACCTTGATCTTTGGTCCTTTTTTCCATTTAAAATAATATAAATGCAAAAAACAAAAATCACATACTAACCATTTTATGTGTGAAGTTATATCTAATTTTACAGTGTTGCAATGACAATGCAATATCAAATAATAAAACCCAAATTTTTTTTTTTAAATCAGCATTTATAGCTTTCAGTTAAAAAATACACATATTTTACCAGAAGAATTAATGTAAATGCTTTTATAATATTATAAGCTAAATACCTCACTGTACTCTGGATCTTTGATCATTTCAGACCAAAAATCATTAAGTTTTAATAAAATAATAAAAATAAAAATAAATTTTCTTTTTCAAATGTGTTAGTACATCAGAATGGTACGAAACTTGGTGACTTTTGTCATACTTGCCATGTGAACAAAACAAAAAAATGGTCTTTAAAAAATAGCCCCACTTCTTAGCTGTCAAAAACGACCACCATAGGAAATTAATGGCCAATACGAAAAATACTTTGGGGTACAATCTACAAATCACACAGCAGTGAAGGGGTTAAACTTTAAAACACCTGTAATATTTCTTTTGAGCTTCAGGAAGTTACTATTTCACAAAACTTAAACATTCATTGAGAATTCCTCGCCGCTTCTCATGGCTTTTCAAACCATAATGACCCTTGAAGATCAAAACCCTCTTCGCACTTGCAGTATAAAGCAACTCAACGCAATTAAATGCAGATGAAAGAACGACGGTGAAGCGCGAAGAGTCGTGCAAGCGAATATCAAGATGTAATTTGTAGCACCGTGACAAAAATAGAGGATAACTGTCATCACAGTTCAGACCCGATGCTAACGCAGCGCTCATGATTAATAACAGACACTCTGCAGGTGTTTTGAAGCTGCTGGCAGCACTGGAGGCCATCAGGCGAAGGAACGCTAACTAATCCAAATCACTTCCTAATCAACAGCTAGCGCCGTCACGGGAAACCTCATGTACAGGAAGAGATCATTAAGGTTTATCTCATCTGCTGATGGTAACTGACAGCAAAAGGTCATCAAGGAAGAAATCGACCACTAATTTGCATGTTGATGGCTGATTTTTGATTAAAGAGCTTTTTAATGAACTGATACTAGTGCTTAAAATTGGCTATTAGCTTTAACATCATCTATATTTTAATGCATAAAAATTAAACATTAAGCACATATGAATTAGCAGACTTAATCTTGGAGAAAGTAGCATTACATGACTTGCTCAGCAGTGGATGCTCTGCAGTGAATGGGTGCCGTCAGAATGAGAGTCCAAACAGCTGATAAAAACATCACAATAATCCACAAGTAATCCACAGCACTCCAGTCCATCAGTTAACATCTGGAGAAGACAAAA